TTATCCGCAACTACCACAATATCATGAAAATCTTGGTTGTGGCACTCGTGCCCCTGTAGGACACAATGACGCTGGGCGCAGAGAAACGCGGAACCTTTTTGCACAAGGCCTGCTAGGCTTTTGAGGATTTCACTTGAGTTGAGGCTTAGGATTGATAAAGAGGGGCTTCTAAAGACTTGAACTTGGCTTAGGCATTGGGTTCTATGCTCCCCTGCCAAACAAGGAACCCAGACGCCTGAAAGACAATGATTTTGCAAGCGACCTGTATGAAGCTGCATCCTAAGCTGTGGAAGCCTTTAATTAACATTCCCTGCTAACTCCAGAGGAACACTAACCCTAGCGGTGCCGTGTACACTCCTGGGGAGGATATACACGACTCAGGATCTAAGGACTTGACCCTTGCTTAGCTTCAGCCGCTGCTGTGCAATCACAAGTCCCACAAGCGACAGGAAGAGGACGGCTAATCTGCTTTGCAAACAAGGACAGGATACCTGAGACTCTGAACTCAGAGCAGCGCGGAACAACTGCTCGTTGCACGTGCATTCTTTGACAGCAAGACATTGGCCAATACAGTGTTTCAAGGTCCCTTTTCAAGGGTCCTCAGAATGAGGATCTCCTTCTCTAGTAGCCTGCGGTAGAGGGCGCACTTGCCCAGACACATCTGCAGCACCACTGTCTTCTCAGCAAGTGCGATAGGTTGGCTAAAACCTTGACGATACCCTATCTCATCGTGGAGGATTGCCTGCATGTACAGGGCGCGCCCCCGTCCGGCAAAACCATGGTGAGACTAGAATCTATGACATGTGGCGCCATCGCAAAACACCTGAGCAAGCATGTGCCGTCTGGACAAGATTGGTGACGCCAAGCACGCTACAATAAGCGCTGAATGGGTACACTTGCAACTGCAAAGGCGCCAGGAACCCTTTTTGGTCTGATATATGGGGGTAATATAGGGATAATGGAAAAGAACATGGAAACTACTGTGTTGGGTTTAGGGGCACTATATGGGGGTCATAGGGGGTTATGCTACTCAGGTATGGAGTAGTGCGGCAAAGTGAAGGCTGGTCATCACTGCACTGCAGGGAAAATTGTCAGATTACCTTTCCAGCTGCCGGACCTGGCTGCCTGGCTCTTAGCATCTCGAAGGGAGGGATGAGATTGCGTTCCAGACTCAAGAAATAAGCCTAGCAACCCGTGAATCTTTGCAGTTCAACCCTTAACAGCGCTATCAGACACCTACTTGCCAAAGAAAAATGCCCCGAACGCGAGAACCTGTAATGGACACTTTCCCAGAAAACGACACCCCTTAAGGATAGTGGCATCTATCGGGACTTTGAGAACCCTCATGAACCCTCACACGCAGCTTAAGCAACACCTGTCCTCGTGCATGCCCCATGGCTATCTGTCAGGTTTGTGGAGGTTGGGCGCTCTCTCTGCAGGCTTTTCAATGAAGATCATGCTTCTTTTGGGGGCGACCCTAGTGGAAACAAACCTCCGAACCGATTCAATGCCGGAAGGCGCTGCTTTGGCATAAGGTAAGTCTTGTAGCCCTCTCCTCTGCAAAAAATTCCAAACCAGTTTTTGCACCAGAGTCTGAGATCTGACTCTACGCGCCTCTTAATTCGAAGAGTTTGCCTCATGATCCGCATATATACCGAGAGTTACAAGGGACACCCTTGCTGTTCTCAGCACATCAAGACATTCTGACAGTGACAGAAAGGGCGCGTCAAACGCTGTAGGTAAGGACCAGCTCATCGTCCTGGCCTCAGTAGCGCATGTCTACAAACCAGGTGTTTTTTTTGAGCGGTGACCGTAGTACCGTATACTCTTCGCATGGATCTGCGCGCCCACTTGGTTACCATGTATGCTGCGCGTGTTTTGGAAGCGGTGCTCGCAACAGCAAACCGAAAGCTCCCAGCATAGAACACTCAAGCTTGGCGGGCATAGCTGCAAGTGTCATGTCTTTCGAGCAGCAATTTCTGAGACTGTGTATTGTAAGCTTCGCAGCACAAGGCCTCTCCATGAGCGTCAATGCAACTCAAGCTCATTAAGCATGCTAAGATACGAAACTGGGCGTGCTGGCTTCGGAACGGTTTCCTCACAAACGAAGGGGCAACTGATGCTCACGATGCCGGCTTGGGAGCCATTTCCTGAAAAGTCAAACGGCAACGGATGCTCATTCTCCTCCTAAGCCAGCATCAGGAGCATAGGTTGCTCCGTCGTTTCTCAGGCTCCGAAGCAAAAATGACATGCATGAGTTTCCACTGCGTTTTTCAGGAAACCGCTTCCAAGACATGGGTTTTGTCTTGTGTCGCGGGTGGCTTCCGAGACAGACGGCTGATGCCCATGAATCTGGGTCGGAAGCACTGCTTAGACAAGAAACCGTTGAACATCGTTGAACCATTCTACAGCCCCACTGGAGAAGTCCCAACGTAGGCACGAGTTAGCGTCCTCAGATGATAAACCTCACCAAGAAAACCATGACGGGTAAATCCTTGACTCCTGATCAGATTGGAGCAAGCTGCCGGGCTTTGGTATCAAGACCACAGCAAGCCGCCTGGCAGAGCCATGGAAGAATGCAATTTAAGAAGATGCCTGTCATGCAGCACCTCGTACTTTGTTTAAAACAGAGGGTAGTTCCCCAAATTAGGGTTCACTCCGAAACACTAGGTGCCGTACATAATTTGCAGCAAAACCCAAGAGTTGGCAGGACTTCGCACAGTCTGGGTAAAGATTTTTGCGCTTACGGAGTATACATATCTGGATAATGGAAAAGAACATGAAAACTACTATAGTACAACAGGGTATATATTGGGATACGAAAAGGGATAGTGGACAAGAAAATGGAAACCAATGCTATATAGGAGTTATATAGGGGTTACAAATTTCACGTGGATGTCGACATGGGAGTCTGGGAGTCAAAACCTCGGGCATCCCTCAACTGACCTGCTAACAACCCTTGCACGAAACAGGTTGCCGAGCAAGTGCACCGTCATTGCTATGAACGTCATCAAGGCTACTTGTCTCGATTATGGCTTACAGACCTACACAGGCGTTAAAGAAAGATCTGTTGTCAACGTTCTCCCGCCATCACAGCTCTTGCGCTTGCTCTTCTGCCGAGGGGTCGTACGTTGTCGTCCGTTGCTTCCCTAAACTTGCACTGTCTTCAGAACCATACGCCCAGCTTTCCGTGCTATCATACAGAAAACCCCATAGCCTTCGAGCAGTCTGCCTACTTTTCCCTTCCGTCGTAGGCCCGTAAAGCTACAGCTTAACAGCCTGAACCTGCAAGTAGGCATAGCGCTCTAACTTATAATCTTGTGGGCAAATGGAAGGCCCTAAGTACCTTCAACAATTCTAAGTTGTCAACGCCCCAAACGGCATGAAGTCGCGGAAGCACCCTCCTCATATCCAAAAACAAAACTCCCGAACATAATCCCATTCTTTTCATCAGGGGAATCCTAGACACCAAGAAATCCAAAGCCAAACCCTAAACCCTCAAGCCCTAAACCCCAAACCTTCAAACCCGTGAACCCTCAACCCCTAGACCCTTAAACCCTCGACCTCTAGACCCCCAAAACCCCCTCAACTCCTACACGCCCAAAACCCTAAACCCAGTAAACCCTCAACCCCTAAACCCGCAAAACCCCCCTAAACCCCAAGCCCAAACCCCCTGAAGCCCCGCGCCTTAACGCCTCTTGGCTCTTGGTCAGCCTCGCTGGCCGGGCCGCCAAACAAATGAGTATCGCATCAGCCATGAAGGTACCTTGTTTTGGGGTTTTAGGGGTTTAGGATTTAGTGGTGAAGGGTTTGGGGTGTGTAGGGGGATTTAAAGATCTAGGGTGGTTTCTGAAGATGAGTTGAAAAATACCTTTCGTAAATTCATTATAACCAAGCGTCCACCACCAGTTTTAACTGTTGCCGCCTTCATCCGGACAAGGGGCAGCCCTAGTGGAGCCTCGATTCTGAGCTGCTACTTCTTCCAAACCCATACTGCGATGTGTTTGGTGTCCTGCTGCAGAACAAAAGCTGCCCACCATGTAGGCACGCCCATGTTCCTACCACATCAAAAATTGAGGCTATAGACACATGTCCTTCCCAAGAGGGATCCGGGGCATGGGTAAGAGTATCGGTTGGGTATCGGCGTCGCCTTCTTTAGAAGGCTTGCCAATTAGAGAATTAATTTTACCTTCTGTCATCACTACTGCTTGTTGCANNGCCTGCCAATGAAAGAACATCTCGGCCAACGCAAAATTGTCACCGTTCAAGGGGGCCGCCCAGGGAACTGTGGCCATATCAAAGCTGTAGCGCATACATTATTATAATCTCTCTATGCGGGGTCATTTTTCAGCTCACATGAGGGTACCTTTGCAATATATATATATATATGTGTGTGTGTGTGTGTAGAGATGACAAGGAGATTCTGGTGATCTGCTTCTAGGATTGTTTAAGTGCTACTTCGTGGAGTTTTCGACTGCGGAGTCTCATACGGCAGGAATCTATAAGGCTTGGAGGGATTTGCGAGGAGTATGTATGTAGAAGTGTTTGGGGAAGTTCAAGAATTCTCGTCTGGTAGCTTGGGTACCGGGTAGCTTGTCAGACAGTATATGCAAGCTCGTGTAGGGGAACCCTGGCAAGTCTCTTGGGCTTCACGGGATGTTCACGGAAGATCTTACAGGATTCTAGGGAGTCCAAAAGCATAACAAAAGGCGTGAGATGGATCACAATACGCAGGCTTGGCAGTGTTTGGGTGCACTTTGTCAACTCAATTCTCAAGCTACTGGATCGGATGAGGTTTCTTGCGGACTTTTGAAACTCAGCCACGTAGTGTTAACAAGAGGAGCAACCCCACCACCCACAGCCTCAGCAAAAGAATTAGTTACTGAAAACATGGGGCCCTTCAGGGCTTCAGGCGGCCGACATTTTTGAGGCAGGTGAAGGGCCCCTAATCTTAAAAACTTACCAATGATTTTTGCTAATTTCTGCTGCGGCCCTGGGACCATACTTGACGACAGCTGCGAGCTCAGGCCTTCGCTTGAGAATGGGTTCTCCAAAGCAGGGTTTAAGATCTAGACCCGTGATTAAGAACCCCCCTCCTTTTAAGGGCCTTGATATTAGGATCCGTACGATAACCCCTTTTAGGGCGAGGGTTTTCTAAATCATGGGTCTACATTACCACAGACCCCCCAAAGATACGAGAAGTGGAAGGCGTTCCTGGTAGGCATTAAGGATTCGATAGGCAGGATTTCGAGGAATAGGGGAATGCAATCATGCAGAACGCGTGGCCTGATTGAAGGCTTGTGTGGCAGGCCGTCAGTACAGTCTTTAGGCTTGTGATCTATAGCCTCCCGCCTTTGCAAGTGGCAGGAAGTTTGGAGTGTCTTGCTTTCCGGCTTTTCTGGATATGGAAAGTAGGAATGCTGTATCGCGCTGCAACGCACGGCTCGCTCATTCCTTCAATTCCTGCCAGTGGCCCTTCAAATTAGATCGCATCGCCGAGCAAAAGGTACCCGCAACACATGTATGGTGACTAGTTCACATTCAGGTGACGTGAGCTTCAGCATTAGCGGATGCGGCCAAGTATAAAAAAAGCTATCATTCCCCTGCAAAGCTTCTCTTAAACCACACGCGTTGGAAACCGTTCAGCTTTGACTAGGCACGGGCTGTTAACACTGCGATAATGGATCTGCACCACTGAAGTCCTAACTTTATACATACAGCTTAGCGTAGGGTCTTTGGATTGAGGACCCACACCTACCAAAGCTGTGAGACGTATCAACTTCTAACATCCAAAAATCAATCCAGGCCTGTCCGCCCCGAAGTCATCCGTGCTGTCAATGCACCTGGATGGAAAACGTGCTGTAGCAAGCCCTCTTGCTACTCGCCTACTCACCCAGTCCATTTGCTTGCGCCAGTCTCCCAAAGCCTTCTGAAGCTGCCAAGGTTTCTACCGGAACACCTTTTCAACACCTGCTTGTCCCAGGAATGGCGGATTGTAGTTTGTACATACAGTAATACAGCAGGCTGCTGGCATTCTTCCTCCAAAAGGCCGGAAGTGTCAGGGGCTCTAACGATTTGAAAGTCTGCTATCACCTCACCATGCCTCACTGGCCTGTAGCTTAGCAACACGCTGCACGCTCTCTTCTTCCGGCTAGGAGTAGGGCAACACATCATCACCCCGAGACATTACACAACAAATATCAGACGCAGGAACACAGCAAAACACCACTACCATGATATACCACAATATGCCATAATGTAACATACAATAATGTACTATAGTATGTTAGAATATACCTTAACATCCCATAATGCACTATCTTAACTCATCATCGCGAAAATCTAGGCAAGAGCACAGTTCCTCGTACAGCGATGGAGCAGCGTGGGCCTGCGCAAGCTGAAGTGTCAAAGTGCAGCTTTTTTTCATTCGGTATGGGGATGATGTAGGGACTGCCTAGGCCCGGAAGAATACATGAGCCATAATCTAAACTCCTGGTATCCACCTTAACAACCCCTACAGTGGTGCCCCAATACAATTATATAATCTCCAGTTTAGACTATAGCTCACATACCGTAAGGACTACGGTGGGTGTTGCCGAACCAATCAGGGATTCCATTGAGTTTGGCGAAGGTTAGAGGGTTGTACAGGATGCGGGGTTTCTGCAGGCAATCCCTGCATGCATGCAGATGCCTGATCCCCGAAAACAGCCTGAGTCAGATCTTGATAGGGATGTACCAGGATAGATATCTGGGAACTCGCACGTTCTCTGTGCAAAGTGTAGCCAGATTGATTCTTAACAATTTCTCCTCGTGGCAACAGCGGATATGTCTATCACCCATGCAGACGACGATTTCGTTGGATAAGGCTGCGGTTACCCTCCCTTGAACAACTATGGAACCACGGATGCAGCCCTGGTAAAAGGATTCACGGGGTATGTAGGAGACTATTGATTTGATACTACCAAGGTGTAGGCAGATGGAGCCACTTGTGTTCCTTGATCCAGCCAGCCCAAAGGCTCTAAGCAATGAAAGCTCGTCACGAGTTTCGGATTTGGGGCGTCGCATGGAACCTCCGATTGTGTTTAAGATAAACCCCCATGACCAAGGAAATGCAGGCTCCCTCAAAAGCATTCGTGCTTCGATTTTAGTTCTTGGTTTGCGGCTTGCGCATAAGTTAAGCTCAAGGCCTTCGCAAAATGCGGAGGCCACGCTTACGAGGCAAGGCAATGAAGAAGGAATTGCTACTTTCGAGGAACCCAAATTTTGCTGAAGTTCATAAGATCTAAACCATCGACACGGTGAAGTCGTACCAAAGTCTGAAGGGCCCAGTATCCCTCATGCTCCCTACCATGCCCCCAAATACATCTGAAGGAACCTTTGAATGACTGAGTCCAAGTTTCCAGCAATTGTCCTTCTGCTTTTCCATGTGATTCCTCATTCTTGGGGTAGAATAGGATATGTTTAATCTACCTGTTTTACTATGTATTTAGTTATGCTCCTCTCTCTCTCTCTCTCTCTATCTCTCGCACCCTAAGCCCTGAAAAACACTGACCCTCAGGGTCCTTGGAAGCCGACATCAGGTTCGCGAAGGCATGCTGCGCCCGGTCTGGGTCCCGCGCCTTCGTGATCACGTAGTTCTTCCTGAGAAGATGAACGAGCTTGGATCTAGGGACTTTAGGAGAGACCCCTAGTAGGTACCCTTAATCCCATTACCATATATAACCCTTATAGAGTCATTATATAACCCCTATATCCCTAGGTAGTCCCCATATTAGCTCCCAGAAGCTACAAGGGTCCCTATTAGGGGTCCCTCCTAAAGTCGTTAGATTGGATCACCTCTGTAGAATTCTGGATACTCGTTCTATTTGTGCGGCCCTTGGTCTCTTTCCAGTTAACCTGTACCTAGACCCTCCAATGTAGTACCTTTTTGGTAGCCCTCATAAGAACCCTTACCCAAAAAACCATACCGAACCCCAAAAGGAACTACATTGGAGGGTCTAGGTAGGGATCTCATAAACAAAGGTGTGAAGTGCGGTCTGGTCCCGAAGAGTCACCTATCATCCTATCGGATCGCCGTATATGGCTGCAGTTACGGTCCTCCGACTTGGAAACAACAAAATATGCACCCAACAATATATCCTTGGAAATCCTCTATACACTCACCAAGAAGCTTGCAACAAAACTCTTGTAACATCCCATTTGGAGAAATCCTCTCTTGGGACAAAAATATTTGTAAACCCAAAGAAGGCATAACAACTCGAAGTAGTTGTCCCCGTTATTAATCTACTTACTATCATTATAATACAAGCGCGAGTAGTTTCAAAAGCCTTGTCCATTCCTTTCTCTGCGATTGGAGGTTGCTCTGTCGCTGGCTTGCTTATACTTGGGTACTGCCCCCACTCTGTAACAGTCTGTATTAGGGGTCGCGTTAATGGCCGGTTATGTATAACTGAATCTAAACAATCATCCGACCGTTACAGAGTGCGGGCAGTAAGAAAGTTACAGGTCTTTCCCAAACTCCTTCGGGAAGCCAAGTGCACCATGTTCTATTGGGGAGCTCCCTTTGTGCAAAAACCACTTAACTAAATCTATGGCTGTGACATCTCAGAACCATCTTTGCCAGATTGTCAAGACATTAAAACAAAATCGCAAAAGGCGCGCTTACAAGAATTGCCGAAGGATTACACTAGGCTTAACTTGCTAGCCTCGAAGGCAGGGTTCCGTCCGCTCTGTACAACTGCTAACAAACACGCAGCGACATGGCGTTTGTCAAGAGCTCTGTTACATTTGGATCTCAACATGGAAGTATCAAATGTGATTACACCTATGAGCTAAGCCCCCGCATCCAAACCCAACAGGCGGCACTATGCTTACTGACTTGTGTGGCCCAAGCGAGCACCAAACCCGCGATCCGTGCGTCGCGCAGCCAATGCATTGAAAATCTGCAATACATTATGACATGGCAGGCGTTCCTGCCTTTACTCCCCATGCAAACCCGGGGCGCATAAAACCATACCTTGCATTATCGGCACCCAAAAAGCCTTGCATCAAAGGCTTTCAGGTATGGCTTGGTCCGGATAAAGGCAAGTCTCCCAGGGACGACATTGAAGGGCCTGCCAGAAACTTTTGGCATGGTGCTGCCAGGAGGAACCGGCATGAAGCCATCGTTTCGGGCCAGGGCTGGGCATACCTGAGCAATCAGCGGACGATTACCAATTGCAGCTCCAGGGGGCGGGCCGACGCATCTCTAACCCCCCAGGTTAGCTGCCGATGAGTGTCTCCCAAAATCTGACTCTCCAGCATGGAACTGAAAGGGCCAGGGTCATGTAAAGGCTACAGTCCTTTTCAACAAAGGGGTTACAAAGGGCTCCACATGTCTAGGGAGGGGATGCGGCTTCTGATGTGGACCACTGACCACTGCAAAGATCCGCGCCCTCATCCACTACTGGGCACCAGGCAGCTACCCAAAGACATGCCAGTGTCTGTCAATTCTCTCTGAAACTTGAAAAGAGCACTGGGTAACAAGTACCTAGAACTGAAAAACTCGTGCACCGAAGGTCAAATCATGGGCTATGCAATGTCGTTGGTGGATGAGAGGGTCTAGTTAGCGGACTGTTTCTAGGGACTGTCTATGCACTTAGACGTCGCCGGGCAAATTCCACGCACTGATGTCAGGCGTACTTTGACCTGTAAAGGGGGGGTTCCCGACAGAATGTCCAGCAATTAAATGCTCCTCCGAACTACTTGGAAGTTCGAGCCTTCAGACGGAGGTTAGGAAGGTTCAATGTTGGATATGGATCCGGAGTCACTTCTTCTCACCAACTCGCCCAAACCAGACTTGCTGGGGTTTTTGCGTAGTTGAACTTATCAAGCAGCTGGGAAGGCTGGCCCTCGAACCGTCTATGGGACCAAGTAAAAGCTGTTTAAAGCATGCCAGTACCTGCAGTGTGTCGTTGTTCTCTGCTCAGAAGGTTTTATGGAATGCTACCGAGCACCCAGATGCCAAAGCCTCTGCACCTTCACCCTTCAGAACGGGTCAGAACTATAGGTGTGACGTCAAGTTTGCACATCAGCCTCGTCGGACCCGAGCACTTGAAACCCTTCTGCATCACAAGCTCAAGAAGGCGAAGAAGAGACCGACTTGACATGAAGCAGTGATCCAAGTCTCGGCCCTAACGCATCATTCAGGCGGGCCACATATTTCACTGGCATCGCATTTCCTCAGCTACATCGCGCAGGGCTCCATGATGGAAATGATGGACGCAGCCACCGCAAGTGAAAGGAAAGGAACATAAACAGATTAACTAAACATGTGCGATCACAAAAGTCGTGTGTGCACCCGTGGGTGTCTGCGCGTGTGTTGCCACCCTGCTTCGTGTCTCTGTTCTTAGCCATGACAACGAAGCTATAGAACAAAGGTGGGTGCGAGTGCAGATCTGCATTGGTGTGCCTACAATGGAGTCTGGCATGGGTAACCTCGGTCGTGGGTTGCATTTTTCGGGCAATAATGGCAAAATTCCTTTTCCACATGTCAGACATGCCAGTGCCGCGGTATAGTGCAAAGACTGGTGGCAACAGGATCACCATGGAAACCACATTCACGATGGCATGCGTTGGGATTTTCCCATCTCCATTTGGCAACGTGCTCTTGTCTTCGGTCTTCGCGTTTCTGGAACTGGACTGCTGCTTGAAAATGTTGATCCGGCGCCTGGCTCATCCGTTGGTGGATGATGAAATCACTCAGGGATCAGAAGTCCTATTGCTTGTTTTGATTTGAGGCTCTCATCTTTGCTCTGAAGCACGAGAAACAGAATTGTACACGATGACACTCACATGTTTGACATGTACTGTTGCACGCAACCAATGACCAGACTGCAGGAAACATTCCACAGGTGCGAAGAGCGGGACGCCTGACATAAACCGCACAAGCAGAACGCGCGTTTACGACGGCATTGCAAATTTGTCACTTCAGTGCTTGTCATGTTTTCTCTTGCAGGCACAGAGCCGCATTTCGTGCACAAGTCGACGCAAGTCAACGCGCGCCTTCTACGGCTGGAATTTGAGAGACGTGGTCAGAGGCAGGATTACATCAGGGTGCGTCTGTGTGTGTGTGACTAATATGCTGCCCGCTATCAACAGCTCCGGCACCAGCTTCTGACAGGAAGATCTAACTTAGTAGTGACTACGTAGTGAATGAACAGTTTTCTTCAACATGTCGTCTAATTTCAAAGTCAATGAGTTCAGTTTGCAATGACATGGTATAGTCTTACATATACATATGTGTGTGTAAGTAGTTCACCGCATACTCTAATCACGAATCCTAGTTCTGGGAACCCATCGCTTGAGAACCGCCCATTTCGGTACTGCCCTCCAGCTTCAGGCCCGCCGAAGAAAAAAAAAGGAAAAGAAAAACACACACACACACTCACATGGGATGCAGTCGAGGTTCCAGAAATAGTCCGCTGGAAATGCAGGTAGTTGAGCAGTGTATCCCTATAAGGAGCCTGCACTCTCCACGGCAGCAGAAGGAGGCGGCTTCTGTAGTAGTATCCAGAGTTGCTCATGTGAACTTCACGCTCAAGGTACAGCAGACTAGGGCAGTCAAGCAAAAAATAAACTCCGTCTCGTCAGGCTCGCCTATAAAGGATGCCGGCACAACTCTCGAGCCAAGGAAACCAGGCAGCTACAAAGCTAGGTAGGAGTTTTTTGCAATGCGCTATATACATATATGCATTTTGGCGAACAAATCTGAAAAGAAACAGTTGGCTTTCACCTGGTTTAACCTTGGCATTTCCCCTACCTGGCCAGAAAGTAGCAGCGTTGAGTCTTTGACTCGGTCTTCGCAGCACCTGGATGGAAAGCCTGTTCGCTGGGATCGCTGCATCGCCCGCTGCGTGGGAGAGGCAGCGGGGAAAACATAGAGAAATCAAGATGCCAAGATGCCTCACTGGGTTGACATACACAGATGTGCATACTTCTACATATACATATATATATATGTGTGTGTGAGCATGTGTACATATAGGCATGCAGGTAAAGGAGTTTCTATATATCTGTATATATACATATATGGCAGTGAGTCGAAACCCCGTGCCCGATGGCCCGCGCGCACAAGCCTCTGTTACATACCCTT